TATATATACTATTAAAATAATAATAATAAAACATTTAAAACATATAATAAGAAAACAAAGAGACTTAACAAATACACTAATTTACATATAAATGCAAATTGAATAAGGAAATTAACTTAATAAATATTTACTAAAGCTTCAAATAGGTTAGGGTTGTCAGAACATTCAATAGATGTTTTTGAAAAATAAATTCCAAAAGTCATTTAACTTAAAACTTAATTTATTTTAGATAAATGTTTCTTGAGTAGTTGAAGAATAATATTAAATTTTCTTAAATATAAGAACTTTTAGAATCAATAATTGATCTTGGCACTATTAGTTTGCACATGTAAAACATCAAGAAAAGATAAATACTTTTAAACATCATTATTAGTTGATCATTATACAAAAACGATTATGATAGCATAATTATTTAAAATTTAAATGATAATAATCAATTTTTCATAATATATTTCAGTAATAGTAATATAATGAAATTGAATTTAACACAATTACTAACAAAATCTACTTGTGTCAGTTAATATTAATTTGTAAACTGTAATGGAGATTTAAAGAAAGAAATATGATTATCAATAAACGGATGATGTAACTAGGAAGAGTGATTGAAAATCTATATGTAATGTTCAAGTCAAACAGAACTCAATCGATATAAAAAATTAATAAAAATAAATGGGGAAATTCTACAATTTATGAAAAATTAATTTCTATCATTATTTTCAATAAATTTAAAAATAATCAAATTATCCTTTTAAAGATTGATTGAAAATAATTTTATAAGAATAATAACTATTTAGTATTTATAAAAGTATATTATATAAATTAATTTTGATAAAGAATAAATATCTAACAAAAATATTGATTATTATGATATTTAAATAAAATCATTGAAATTGAAAGTTAAATATACTATTTGAATTAGATTTTTAAAATATTAGGTTGTTAATATTTTTAAATTCTAGCTTTCTTATTGAATAATTAATAGTAATTATCAAATAAGATAAAACTTTTCATTAAATTGATCTTAAATGATATTTTTATTAAATTTACAATGTAAAAATAATATATATATTAAATTTATTTATTAAAATGCAGACATTAAATGATTATGAAATAATAGAAAAATTGGGTTCTGGTTCATATGGGGATGTAATGTTGGCGAGATAGAAAGAAAATGGATAGTTAGTTGCAATTAAAACTTTAGAGAAAAGATTATTAATAAAGGTGAGCTAATTTGTTTATAAAAAGGAAAAAAAATAATATTAGGTTTTTATTGAAAAAGAAGTGTTAACATAAGTGAAGCATCCTGGATTGATTAATTTAATTGCTAGTTTTTAGAGTTCATCATAAATTTATTTGGTGCTTGAATTTGTAGAGGGAGGAGATTTTGCAAATTTTCTGAAAATTAATAGTAAAAATGCAGTTTATTATGTTAGAAAATATTTCTTAATAAAATATAGTTTTTTATTCAGCAGAGATTGTCAGCATATTGGAATAGTTACATTCACATGGTATAGCTCATAGGGACGTGAAGGTAATAAGTTTATAATGATAAAAAGCCAGAAAACATAATGGTAGCAAATAATTTACATATAAAAATGATTGACTTTGGAACAGCAAATTTTTTTGATGAGCGAGGGTTACCAGAGAGTGTAAGAGACAAATTAAATGAATTACGCGAAGTGAGTTAATAAGATGAAAGATTCATGGATGAAATTGATTAATATTAATAAAAACACAAAGCAACATTTGTAGGGACAGCTGAATATGTATCACCAGAATTATTAGAGGATGATGTATGTGGTCCTTAAGCAGATTTATGGGCATTGGGGTGCATAATTTACAAAATGTTTACAGGAATAACTCCTTTTTGTGATTAGACAGAATATTTAGTATTTTAGAAGGTCAGAGCTTGTCAGTATTAGAAGAATAATAAAATTCCTTAGGAAGCAATTGATTTGATAAGTAAATTATTAGTAAGAGATCCGTTGAGCAGATTGGGAGGAGGATTGCCTAGTATAATTTATTAATATTAAGATTCAAAGAATACTTATAGAGAACTAAAGAGCCATCCTTTCTTTAAAGAGATAAATTGGGATTAATTGTGGAGTAGAAAGGGACCAGATGATGTGTAAATACATTTGAAAAAGTAGAGTTAAAAATAGGAATTATAGTTAAAAAAATAAAGTTCAGCTTTAAAGCCAGAAGTTATATTAACTGGATTAGTGAATAAGAAGACTGGTTAGTGAGATGAATATTATAGGTTGGATGATTTATAAGTTACGTAATATGATTTTGTATGATTACGAGATTCCAAAATTGGAATATTTTGATCCAAATACAGGAATGAAGAAAGTAAGTAAAGAATTTATGATTAAAAGGGATAAATTATATTGGATAAGAATGTGATAATAGAATTACTAAAAGGGCAATTCAATATTGATGTGCCTAATAAAAAAAAATATTACTTTAAAGTATAACTGTTATTAAGTTAGGAATGTGAACATCCAGCATAATTATGGGTTGATAAGATTAAAGATATTATGAAGAAAAGACTTAATTATGAATGATTATTTGCATAGTTATGATTCATTAAAAAAAGTCTTTAGGAAATTTATTACCAGCTCTAACCCTAATTTTAAGAGGTATTTTTTCTTCTGATTCATTTCTTATGAGTTAACTCTTTTTATTAAACTTATTATTTAGTTCTTGAGTGGAGAGTAACAATAATTCGAGAATATTTTCGTTATCAACTTTTTCAAGTTCAATTTTAAGATTGCGAGCCACTTAAAGATTACTTTTGCTGTCATGTTCAAACCCAATAGAATCATTGTTTTGAGGAGAGTTAAAGAAATATTTTTTCTTTTGTGTAATGACACCTTCTCGATCTGGATTGTTATTTAATTTTTAAGTATTAATTGAATTTCTTCTCATCTATGATAATATA